CTTATAGGTATAGATAGAGGACGTGGCCGGATGAGTGTGTATCCACCCCTAATATTCTATGCAGCGCCAGAATGGCGAAGGTTTAACTTGGATAAACCGGGAAACACTTGGCACGCTTGTTCGAGAATTATAAACAAATTGCCTGGAGTAAAAAGGGGGCGCTGGATATAATGGTGATACGAGTACTTGGGAAGATATAGGAAATTTGTTATGATGAAAAGAGAGGATTGCTTTTGACTTGTTCACAACAGTCAACTTGCCTTAAGAAAGTTGTCCTGGCTCTGCTTGTTCGAGTTTCGTGGTTAGACTGAGGCTGTTCTGTGCTGCACGCTTAGTCACTTGCACTTCATCAACTTCACGTCTTACCTCCTTATCCCAAGATCGTAGGGTTGCTGTATCGCTACTTTGCATATGGGAAGGGTGGTTTTCCTTAGTCTATTTGAGAATTATCTCCGTGAAGACTTGATACCTTGGTTTAGGGGTTGCTAAGGATTACGCAAAAGGGGTGGTTGGATGAAGTTTTTGCCATACGCATTATCCAAATACTATGTTACAGTCGATCAATGATTCAAAGGTGACATCTAGGGGACTCTTGTAGATTAAAAATACTAAGAAAGATGGCACCTCGAAAGCACAACCTAACTCGCGGACAGACTATAACTACCTCGTTTCGATTTACTCATAAATTGGAAGAAGGAACGATGCTGGCGCCGGTAGAGTACAAATGGAGCGAAGGGTGTGTACCAGAGGAATACGTATAGGGCTAAGAAAAGAAGTATGGAAAAGAAGTGGACGAAGTAGAAGAAAAGCTTCGGTACCACTGTGGGATCTACGAAGCGATTTGTACGGGGGTCTTTGATTTATAAGTCTGTGAGTGGCGCGGGAGCAGCATACACATTCACCCTTACTTCTGGTACTAGTGAGAGGGACTGGGTGGCGTGGACCAGGAAAAAGAAGAGACCAAACCGGGAACAGAGAAGTTAGGGAATGATTGCCAACCCATGGCTTCACTTACGGATGATGCATTGCCGGGAAGTCGACTTTGGGCACAGAAGGATGAGGTCATGGAAATGGATTCGGAATTGTTGAAAATAGTCAGGGATGCTCTTCTGCGCATGCGCCAAATATACCATCTCCCTTTGAACCCCTTTAATTCAGTTTTCCTTTTTTACCGAAATGCACGGAACTCGTCAAATCTTGGCGTTTCTTTTTAAGTTGAAAGCACCGTCTCAAAGCCAAACTGGAATCTTCATGCAAGAGTAAGATAGAGACAGAAATAGACTGGCTGCCTCGATTCTTTTGTTTTTTTCTCTCAGAATCCTTTTTTAAATTTAGTTTCATCCTTCTACTTTTATTTCTTCTTTCTCTCGTTTTGTGGTCTTCTATCTCTTTCTGACTTTCTTTTCTCACCATCCATCGTTCCAGTCTTTCTCGTTCGTATATTCTCGCTTTTCCTATCCAAGATAACAGCCAGCTAACAGAAACTGTCTCAATGGGATTATTTCAAGTTGCACGTAGATACGATAATGTCGAGGACGGTATAACCAATAAAATTGTCGATTTTTATTTTCAATTACTACTTTATTCGCGTTCTTATAAAGTCTCGGCACCGTATCGTTAACATCAGACAATGTAAATAAATAATAAATTTCTTAATGATCAACGTCATATCATTAGTGGGAATTACGGAATTCGCATTTTTATTTCTCCTTACAATTTTCATATCTTTTAACTTGGAGACATTTTATATCCATTTGATTGCGAACTATTTTATATGACGAAGTAATTTCTCTTATAGTTTTTTTTTATCCCGTAATAAGTATTTCCGTTTCTACGCGACAGTGAATTCTGGATCGATCCTGGCAATCGTAAGCAATCCTAACATACTCAGCTGAAACACGTACTCCTGGAACAATCTCCTGGTGGCTTCGAAGCAGTCTGGGCGTTTGGGTGCGTAAGTACCTATTGAACAAATAGAATCAACTGGACGTGGATCGTAAATGAAGTTCAAACTCATCCACTCAGATTCTCTTGCAGAATGAGAACTGATTCCTACCCGGTTTTTCCAATCTTCATTTACTTGTTTATTCGAATGTTTGTTTGTTTGTTTGTTTCTATTACCGACGTTCAATACTCGCAAGATATTTTCGTATGTCTTTCCGTGGATTCTGGAAACTTATATTTAATTTCACGAATAGGTAATTGGGTAAACATTTGTTGGAATCGTACTACGATATTTATAAATAATTTCCTCTTTTTGATTAATCAGTATCTATTAGATATCAATAATAAATTTTATTTTTTGTAATACTTGACTTATTTTTTTATATGCCTCTGACAAAAAGAGTCAATAAATAATTCAATAAAAGGAAAAGGAAAAATTGAAAAATGGTGTTCGACAAGCGGAAATTTTTTTTTAATTAAAAACGCACGAGGTTTTACTATGAATTCAGGAATGCCCTCGATGGGAAAAATGTTTTATCCAGTATTGATTCAATTAATAGCCCTAGGCATTATTTCATGAAACTTATACCTCACTGCTGTCATTTTCAAAAATTCAAACCACCTTTAGATAGGATAAAATTGCTAGTCAAATTTTCATTCAGTTCACCGTACTAATAGCTGAATCTGTAACGAGTCAAAGTCATCTATTTATACGTGTCATTTAGTTATTTTTTTATCTACTGAACTGAAACTCGACGTTTGGAAACATGACGTTTTGATTCTACTTATTGAAAGGCAGGCTAGGCATAAACCGGCGACGATACTCATAGCGATTGGATAATAATTGAATTCTGTTATCGAACAACTGCCATGGGAGATACCTGAAACTGGTATGCTGGCTACTCAGTACATATAGAAATATTCGAGGTGAGCTGAACGTCGAAAGGAGTAAAACCAAATGTCAATCCACTGAAATAATCGAAGAGCTCGAACACTTCACGAGGAAACAGAATATCGATCGTATTTAGCATCTCAGCGAAGGGAATAATATGAAGAAAGAAAATGGTATAACTAATTAAATTTATGGGATATAAAATTTAACGATGATTTTCAATTTTTTAAATCAATTCACGATTTTTTTTTTTAATTTAATATTCAAAAAACAAATTTATTCATGAATTCGAATTCTATAAGGTTTTCAAATTTTTGTATATTCTATGTTATATGGTATCCTTGAATTCGTCCGGATCCTATTGCCTATGCTGTTTCCATGAAAATTTCAACAAATTGACATCAACCTGTCGGCTTTTTTTTTTAATTCCATTATTTCATAGCTTTAATTGAAATTTTTACTAATTCGACATGGTAATGCACTTTGCTGCTTGGAGGATATTAAAGTATAATTCTCGTCAAGCTCGTTGAATAATGTAACCGCAGCATTCTTGAATATATATACATATAAATGCATAATTTTTTATTTTATTTTTCCCATCCGTCAGCTACTCTTATCAACAATACTTTATCTTGGCAAGAGTCATCTGGATGGAATGCATTGTATTTAAAACAATGATTAATAGATTCCCACTTATTGTTATGCTTTCGTACACGACTATTTAAGATACCTGAAAGATACTTTATCTGGTACTTTTTATTAATGTATCAAATAGCACAAAAAAGTCAATTTCCCATAATTTCCCAATTATCGAAATTTTAATAGAATTTTCTATAATAAACACGAGCAGGAAATTACTTTGATATCAACAAGTGGCCGTAGTCTTTGCACAATTAATAATAACAATGGTAACTTCTGAACGTTTTAACGTACCTTATGAATTTTATCGCGATAATGTAACAAATTAGTGGAATAGACCACGTATATAATTATTGGATTTTGTAACAGGTGTGACTTTACATAGATAACAGGCCCTTGTGGATTACACTGTATAATTACATTTCAAGTGTGTATATGTGCGCTGGATTTTCTCTCGCACCTAGAAACCCTTAAGCCTGATATATAAGCCAGCAATTAACGTTATCTTTATTAGAAACCAACCGCAACTCGTGGCCATAAAGAAATATTGCCCTTTAAAAAATTTGGAAAAAAAGTAAAAAAGATAAACTTTCAGTTAAAAGATTTGCCTTGAACATTAAAATTTCAAAGATTAACAATGAGAAAAAGGAAAAACGATTTCCACTTTAATAGTTAGAGGGTTGAAATAAAAAGGGGTTACAGTCATGCCATTGTTCGAGATATGAATGCATGTTATAGTCACGTCGATTAATTAATGTTGGACATGAATTATTCTTACAATCATCAATTATCCTCTCGCTAATCAATCATCGTATCATTATAGATGCGTATCAACGCGATCGAATTGATTGACATAGGTCAGATTATTTAGAGCACCCTAGTATATCGTTTATATCCACATATCACTTTTTCCAGGACGATTAAAGTTATCACCGAAAAAGCTAATAATATGAATTTTCATTCAATTTTCATCCACATGGCTTATACTCTCGTCCTTCATTCCCTTCTCTCTTCTTCCACCGACTCCGTTATTCCACGAATAACTCATTGGCGTGATCTCCCCAGACGTTTCTCTACCCACGTGAATACGGATTAAAAATTAAAAATAGAAAAAGGAAAAACAGTGCCTCGAGCCATATACTAAATACAGAAGGAAAAACACATGGGGTTCGGTGGTCTATTAATAATTCTCGCTATTCGCGAAAACTTCCGGTTACTTCTCTCGCTATTTGATCTATAATGTACCTGTATACCCGAGGGAAAGAAGATGCCGTCTTATCTAAATTGCTTCAAGCAGACAAAATCGAACTTAGTTTTATATTTATTATACACATACTATATATATATATATATATATATATATATATATATATATATATATATATATATATATATATATATATATATATATATATATATATATATATATATATATATATATATATATATATATATATATATATATATATATATATATATATACGTGTACTTATAGGTATTAGTACAGAAAGAATTGACAGTACCGCATAATGGATTGATTTTTTGTGTGTACCCAATGTCATCAGTTAATTGTGATGTATGAGGGAGCGAAAAGCACATATCATCCTTTTAATACACGAAGCAGATATAAATGGGTTAGGACGTTGCTCCTCTTAAGATGCCCTTACCAGACCATGATGGAACACACGAGAAAGTTCCTTTGTGTACATCTTTAAGAAATTTCTTCTTTACGTCTTATCCTTATTTTCTGCATGGGACAAGATGAAATTATGCATGTAGTATCTAGCCGTATTCACTAAGGTAAGGTATACTTATTATTGGTTAGGAGCAGCTTCCAGTTTTGCTACTGTTGGCTTCGACATAACTCTCCAGTAGCGGGAAGATAAGTGGCAAGCTTTCTATGTATAGTTGTATATTTATTGTACGTATATTTTATTGAAAAATTTCTCAGGACTTTTCATTATTTCCAAATCGTATAAAGTCAAACGTACTAGAGTACTTACTATAGTAGGTAGTGTACATGGGTAATATATTTTTTTTTATGTGAGATAATGATATTAGATTTTCGCATATTTGCCAGTAAAAAAGAATTTAAGTAAATATGTCTGAGCGAATTTTTTAACAATTTTTCAAATTAATGTAATGAAATTTATATACTTGAATAGGGTTAGAAAGGATAATCCTATCAACTGAAGTTAACCCATCCATTTGATTTGTACGGTGGAGCCATCTTTATGTGGACAAAACACTCTAAAACATACACGAGCATACCGACCAATGGGCTGTTTTAGCACGTATATGCTTTTTTCGTATGTAGTTTTGTTTGCTGTTCATCGGATTCCTTATTTTCCAATAACGCAATGACCATTTTAATTGAGTTGTCGCTAATTGATTATCTTTCGTATGACTTGTACCTCGCAAAACCTGCAGTTTATTTTACGAACTTCTCGTTGTGCAATGAATGAAAAATTGGGCGATAACGATTTTCACTGGAGCGTCAGAGAGCTGAAACGTTCAATTAATAAAGTAGGATTCTTTTTTTTTTTTAAATAACGTGCGTGTATGGAACTGTAATATATACGTATATCAATACATATATTTTTGTCAATAATAAAAAAAAACGTTTCAATCCTCTAACTAAGCTGAATGTGCTTCGTATGACATTTGCTACTTTTTAAAATTTCTTTTCTCTCGTTTAGCTGTCGTGCATTGCGCTAAAATAGTTTTGTTAAAGAATCAAAAAGAGTTATTTATTTACATGCGAGATAGCATACGTGGTATTGTATATTTTTATGACAGCTTCGTTGCGACAGATAACGCTGTCGGATGTCAGTTGTTTTAGCGAACAAGAAAAAAAAAGGAAAAAACTTACAGGCAAATTACTTTGCCCCAATTCACAATCGAAAAACAAGAAAAAGACTGAACGTGACTGTTCACTTTTTGTTTAAAGTGACTGTAATTTTAAATGCCACCCCTTTCGCACTTCACTTAATACGATTCTGAGAGAAGAAATATATGCTCGTATGTATTTGCACAGCATTATTCTACAGTTAGGGATGCAGCTTGCGATATGCTGGGGTAGGTAGTTTAAAAGCATCTAAATTTAACCGTAAATGAAACAATTATTCGTGTTCCCGCGTGGTGCATACATCTGCATGGGGCGCATACGTTTCAAGCTACATATGTATTTCCGTGGAAACCCAACACGCTGAGCGCAAGGGTGGAATACAAACGTATAACAATCCCAGTGACCAGACATAAATCAGGAGCCTAACAAGAAGACGTTGTTGCCCTCAAAACAAGCCATTACACCGCCAGACTCCATTTAGATGATAATTCGAATTTAAGTTTGGCTCAACAATGAAATCCTGTCTTTCGAAATTCTGTGGATTAAGAACAATATCACTTGTCGAGGAAGCACGTGTATCAGCAAGGCTAAACTAATAGGAATTATTGTTAACCCTAGAAAGATACACTGGGTGTCGCACAACCAACACCCAGTGTACCTTTCGTGATCGGATGCGGAATTGTACAGTTTTAGAAACTTGAAAGTTGTACAACACATGGGACAAACGTTGTTTTAATGAGAAAGGGTTGGTCGGGATATGTTAGACAATTGTAAACGCAGTACTACATTAATGGGTATAATTTTTAATGAGAAATTTCAAGCAGACAAAAATACAGGGTGGGCATAAAGTATCTTTCATAATGTTGAACACGAAGGGAGTTGCTGATTTATATCTAAGCAGTGTCGATTTTTTAAATTAACGCCTTTTCGAATATTCAGAAGTACACTTAAGTTTTTGGGCGTGGGGATTTTATACGTGATTTTTGGAAAGTATTTTTTTTTACTCATTTTCTGTCAGCTCTTTAAATGTACGATGTTATCGAAAGATGGCACAGTAATTGATCTTTAGCTGTATGACGAATTTTTAAAAATTACTTATAGGGTGACAACCCTCAATTACTAGAAACCTGTCTCGAGGACGTTCATTATATAAATGGAGCAAAGCGGTTCTTTTTTTTTTAGAAATTTTATACTTTACGATATAGGTCTTTTTGAGTTATCTTTAGGGGTTGAATATACCGTGCGGTATGTTATGGGATACCCTGTTGGCACAGGATACATGTTTATGTGTTGCTCGAATAACCTGCAGATTGTTTGTGTTGCGCGGGGAGCATAATACAAGGCGATGCTTTACTTACAATTGAGATTCAGTGAAAACGTTCCTCCATACTGTTAAAAATTTCAATGGGTCCTGAGCCAAGTATATTTTTGAGCGTCACGTTACGTTCGAGATTAAAACATAAATCTGCTCGTGCCTGGTCCTCTTAGTTTTTCATTACGTTATGTGGAACCATTTATTAAAAATATTTATCTACGAGTTATGGCTTCTACAACTTAAAGCAGCCTACAGTTCTATTTCAAATGACGTGCCCTTTATTGGTTAACGTAATCCAAAATTAAATTTAACTAATAAAACGGATTTAGTCATAAAGTTATATTAATGACATATTTTTATTAGAGTCCGACATAAACACCTTATAACACAAGGGTACGAGGGTGCATGAGGAAGGGTGGTTGGAATGACATGCTTTATAGGTTTGCTTGCACAGGCAACCCTTCGCCCCCTAGAAATTGATTGCGTACGGTAAACTTCCACCACTTCGACCCTCTACATAACCAACCCGCTCTTATTCAACTCTGCTCGTTTATTTGCTGTAAATATTTTTGTTTCAACCCCACATGATTTTACGTCGCAAGGTAACGCGTCGCTAATCAGATACACGAGGGAATGCATCTCTATAGATACAGAAAATGACTATCACCCCTTTCTACCAGTGGCGCCCGGGATTGTGTACGAGGAAAAAAGAGAGGGAAGAAGAAAGAAGAAAAAAAAACTGCACGCTTTATTTAAGTGGAATACAAGGCACACAGAAAAGGAAATGCACCGGGAATAAGGGATGCGAAAGAAAGCGAAAAGGGGTGTTTCCTTGGCCAGCCACAATGTCCAAACCGAGTGTCTCAGAATGCCGTGGATATTGCAAAGCGAATGTTCTCTTGCCTTTTCTCGGCACACTGCACACGGACATGAGCTAATGGCTTTAAAAGGGAGGCGTCTCGACTTGGAATTGGCGAAAGTATCACTAAAGGATTACGGACATTAGCGTCGCGACGTTCCCTTTGCAACGTCTATATATAAAGGATGCAATTAGGTAAATGGAAAATTCTATCCCATGTCTGTCACTTTAAGTAGAGAGAGAGAGGAAAGACAGAAAAGGATAAAGGTCACTTGCTTTCGAATTCTTAGACGTTGTACAATTAAGATATTTTAAACTTCAAATAAAAGAAATTCATATATTTATTGACGTTTGAAAATTTATCGTTGTATCTACAAAATTTTCTGTGACTCCGATATATTTCAATCTGAACTCACGAAGCTTCTTTTCCGTCACTTTGAAGTCGTGTGTATATACTTTGATCGACGATCCTGCATCAAGTTATGTGAACGGTATGGTTAGAATCCAATAGGAAACTCGATTTATTTGATTTCTTATGGTCTTTGATATTTCACTCTAATGAGGAGAATGTCGTCAGATAGGAAGGTTGCCAAGATTTGTTAAAGGAGTACAGGCTTGGTAGAACTTTGAAAGAATCTTAAAGAAATATTCATGCTGAAAATGTGTATCATACGAAGCTCCGTTCGGTACTTTTACAAAGGATGCTGCTTTAATTCTTTTCCGCACTAAATTTTATATGCATCGACATTAAAAATCATAAGACTGCAAATACGTGACTGTGAAAAAGTATTGATGCTTAATATAAATGCTATGTACAAGTTATTAGTACTTTAAATATCAATGCCGATGTCAACTTCATATGATTATCTAACATGCAAATTTTCATTATGAGTTTGATGTGTCACGATGTAAACAAAATATTAGGTGCTATGGTTAGTTTTGAGGGCTCACTATAGATGGCTGTAGATAGGTACAAGTCGACATGAGAAATCCCTCAAATCTAAACGAAACATCTATTTTTTCTATATAAACATTTTATAATTTTGGTAACACGATCCCTTTCGAAAATCAATGGTTTCTAATTTTAATCATGGTCGTCTCTTAATGGGGTGCGGTATTAAATTGCTAACGAAAGAAGCGTAAAAACGGAATAGGTCGATGAAACGAGGACATAAAAAAAGAGAATAATGGAATTAACTAATGAAGCCGCCTTCTCTTATGCAAACAGTGCAATGCTGGATAGTAGGAATGACCTTCATTTTTTCTTTCGTGATCGTCAATTTAAAAAGTGTACCACTACGGATAGTAGTATAACAAGGAGGGTCCAGATGCAGATTCATGCACTGACATTTACCGATAGGTCGAGAGCCTTAAAGGGATCGCATCCATGCTGAATCGACGTCGTGGACTCCTTGATTTCAAGGAATGACATCACAAGGATCGCCGATTCCATGAATCAAAAGCTGATTCTAGAAATTTTACATTGGATTTCAAGAATTTTACCTCCGATTGTAGGAATCGCACATGATCGAGAATCTTCTAGAACATTCTAGAAGCTGACGCGAAGTTAGCATCTCATTTTTATAAATGTCATTTCTTTTTGTAAATGACTAAATGTATTGCTAAAAACCATTAGGAACTATGTTGCGTGCTAAGGGTTTCACGAATCTGCGCGGGGCTTGGAAGTGAGGGAATCCTCGAAGCTTCTTGTCAGTTCTTCGGGATTGAAAGGCAAGGGGGCTACCTCAAAAGCTTCTTCTAGAATGTTCTAGAAGATTCTCGATCGTGTGCGATTCCTGGATTCGAGGGTAAAGTTCTTGGAATTCGACGTAAAATTTCTAGAATTAGCCTTCGATTCGTGGAATCGACGATTTAGAATGGATACGAACCTTCGAAGGCTCTCGAACTGTCGGTAAGTGTTGTTGCAGGAATCTGTGTCCAGAACCTCCTTTGTTATACTACTATGAATCCTTTGGGTTGTTTAATGAAATTCGTAAATATCGGCAAAATTGGCTTAATACGATTCGCAGACCAAATTGAAAAGAAGGGAGACGAGTAACGAAGGTATTTTTATAAATCAAACATTCCAGTCGCGTTTTCACGAAAATTTCTTAACT